AGCCCCAAGCCCTTTAACCTTTCTTCATAGGGAAAGTGTTCCAACCCTTTGATCATTCGAGTTGCCCTTTTCTACACATTTTCCAGTGGTATAATATCCTTTCTGAGATGTGGTGACCAGAACTGTACACAGTACTCTAAATGAGGTCGCACCATTTCCTGGTGGTCCCTGGCCCGAAAGACGTCTGTCTTACCTCGACCTCTGCCCTGGCCCCTACCTGCTGGAACATGCTCCCTATTGAGGTCAGGGCCCCGCGTGATCTTCTCCAATTCGGCAGGGCCTGTAAGGCGGAGCTGTTCCGCCAGGCCTCCCCAAGGTTTTTGCCACCCATTTTAACCACTGCTGGCCTTTCTCTATATCTTATTATAGGCCAGACCTCTCGCAACCCTTAAAGTTCTTTACTGTAAGACTGTGACCACCATTTTAATGTGTACGACTGGTTTAATATTTTATTAATGAAATGTTGCTTTGTATTGTTGGCATGTTGTTAAGAAGAAGAGATTGGATCTATATCCCGCCCTTCACTACCCAAAGGCGTCTCAGAGCGGCTTACAAACTCCTTTCCCTTCCCCACCTCACAACAGACACCCTGGGAGGTAGGTGGGGCTGAAAGAGCTCTGACGGAAACTGCTCTTTTTCAAGGACAGCTCTTATCAGAACTACGGCTTGCCCAAGGTCATCCAGCCAGGTGCGTGCAAGTGGAGGAGTGGGGAATCAAACCCGGTTCTCCCAGATTAGAGACCACTACACCAAACTGGCTCACTTGAGGGAAGGACGGGCTATAAATATGAATAAATTAATTAATAAATAAAGTGCCCCCCTCCTGGGTTGTTTAAAATACAGCTACCCTTCTGCAGGGCCTTTTTTGTAGAAAAAGCCCAGTAGGAACACATTAGCATAATAGGCCACACCCGACAGAAGAAACGCATTAGCATATTAGGCCACACGCATGATAGCACATCATATTAACATATTAGGCCACACCCCCATGTTGCCAGAAGTGTGGTCCTCCAGCCACACCCACCTTTTGCTTCTTATTTTGTTTACCTTGTTGTCAAAACCCCGGGGGGGGTTGTAGCAGGAACCCTTTGCATGTTAGGCCACACACCCCTAATGTAGCCAATCCTAATGAGTTTCTGCTGTTGGGTGTGGCCTATTATGTCAATGAGTTCCTGCTGGGCGTGGCCAACTTGGGAGCCAGTCGGAACTCCGTTCCTGTGCGTTCCTGCCCAAAAATAGCCCTGCCCCTCTGGGATTGGTAATGCTTAGAAAGGCAAGAGTATCATGACTTTTTAAACGCAGGTGGGTCGCCATGTTGATCTGAAGCAATTGAACAAAGTGTGATTCCAGTGGCACCTTTTAAGACCAACAAAGCTTAATTCTGGGGATAAGCTTTTGTGTGCACGCACACTTCCTTCAGATTCGCCCCCAAGAACAACGGTGTGAGGTGGGTTAGGGAAACACACACACAACCAATGTTCCCTCTAAGCTGAATTAGTGTGAGCTAGCTCACAGGTTTTTAGCCTCTGGCTCACACATTTCTGTCTTAGCTCAGGAAGGATGGCTCCAGAGCAAACTAATCTATGCAGCAGCCAAATCGCTCACTCACAACTTTAATGCCAGGAGCTCACAAAGTAGAATTTTTGCTAAGAAGACTCCACAGCTTAGAGGTAACATTGCACACAACCACAAGGTAGCTCATTATAACACACTTTCCCAAATGGATTCTGGTCAACAAATGATTCTGCTAGAAAGAAATCATGTTTTTACGGTGACAGAAGAACTGTCCATCCTGTGCATCAGTGGACATTACGCTTCCTTCAAGGAGCTCGGGGTAACATTCGTAACACTCCCTCCTTCCAGTGTTCCCCCTAAGATGAATTAGTGTAAGCTAGCTCACAGGTTTTTAGCCTCTGGCTCACACATTTCTGTCTTAGCTCAGGAAGGGATGGCTCCAAGGAAACTAATCTATGCAGCAGCCAAATCGCTCACTCACAACTTTAATGCCAGGAGCTCACAAAGTAGAATTTTTGCTAAGAAGACTCCACAGCTTAGAGGTAACATTGCACACAACCACAAGGTAGCTCATTATAACACACTTTCCCAAATGGATTCTGGTCAACAAATGATTCTGCTAGAAAGAAATCATGTTTTTACGGTGACAGAAGAACTGTCCATCCTGTGCTTCAGGGGACATTACGCTTCCTTCAAGGAGCTCGGGGTAACATACGTAACGCTCCCTCCTTCCAGTGTTCCTAAAATGAATTAGTGTGAGCTGGCTCACAGTTCTTTAGCCTCCGTCTCACACATTTTTTGTCCTAGCTCAGGAAGGGATGGCTCCAGAGCAATCTTAATTTGTGCAGTAGCTCACTCACAACTTTAATGCCAGATCAAGGTGGGCAGCCATGTTGGTCTGAAGCAAAAGTTAATGCCAGCAGCTCACAAAGTAGAATTTTTGCTCACAGGACTCCACAGCTTAGAGGGAGCATTGTTCCCCTCCTCAGTTTCATCTGCACAACAATCCTGTGGTAGGTGAGGCTGACTGACATAGATTGGCTCACCGTTATCCAGCCTGTTTTAATGGCAGGGTGGGGGCTTGAACCCAGATCCCAGTATGCTGCTCTTAACCATCACTCCCCACTGCTCCTTGAGCAGTGGTTACTAGAGCAGGAAACTGACCATCTGTGGCCATCTTTGGGGGCTTTTCCTACACTGGAACCCCCATCAAGGTCAGAAGCACTTCCCCCACAGAAATGTCCTTCAGTCCCAGTTTAAGAGGGCCTCCTGTTCCCAGGCTGTCTACGGCCACAGGGAAATAAGTTTTTTCCCTCTTTGATAATCCTGCAGCATAAAGAAATCGGTTGCAGGTGGATTCAGGAATATATTGCTATGATTTCTCACATTTTGGATTAGACACCTCTAGGCAAATTTTCTCAGTGAATCGGTGATTGGGGGGGGTTGCTCTAAGTTTGATTTTTACATCAAATGTCATTTCATTCTTATGGAAACTGCCAGCAGAATTAAAAATAGAGGCACTCTTTAAAGAATAATCTGACTAAAAGTAGATTCAGGTAGGTAGAAGAAGAGATTGGATTTATACCCCCCCCCGCTCTTCACTTGGAGTCTCAGAGCGGCTTACAAACTCCTTCCCCTTCACCTCCCCACAACAGACACCCTGTGAGGTGGGTGGGGCTGAAAGAGCTCTGACACAAACTGCTCTTTTTCAAGGACAGCTGTGCCAGAGCTTGTGACCAGTGTTCCCTCTAAGCTGAGTTAGTGTGAGTTAGCTCACAGTTTTTTAGCCTCCAGCAAACAGATTTTTGTCTTAGCTCAGGAAGGGATGGCTCCAGAGCAAACTAATTTATGCAGCAGCTAAATTGCTCGCTCACAACTTTAATGCCAGTAGCTCACAAAGTAGAATTCTTGCTCACAAGACTCCACATCTTAGAGGGAGCATTGCTTGTGACTGACCCAAGGTCACATGTTGGTCTGTAGCAGAAGAACAAAGTTTGAGTCCACTGGCGCCTTTAAGACCAACAAAGCTTTATTCAAGGTATGAGCTTTATACTTTGAATAAAAGCTTGTTCGTCTTAAAGGTGCCACTGCCTAAAGCTAGGTGATTAATGCATCGTACCTCATTTGCAGGGAAGGCCAAGGCTTAGCTGGTACTGCGCAACTTGGCCAGAGTTTTCCTGGGAGAGACTGCCGGGGGGGGGGGGGGAGCTGAAGACTGGAGGGCAGATAAAGGTGGGTGAGGAGAGAAGAAAGCAGGAAAAGGGGAGAGGCTACGGGGGCTTTCAGTGAAGAGAAAGAGGAAATAGCAGGGGAGGGGGTAATGAGATGCCCCCCCATAAGTCCTTGCAGGTCCCCTGATTGTGTGTATGTGGAGGGGGAGAAAAGAACATAGGAAGGCTTGTGTCCATTTGGAGGGGGTGTGGCTCAGTGGCAGAGCATCTGCTTGGCATGCAGAAGGTCCCAGGTTCAATCCCCCTGTATCTCCAGTCAAAAGATATGGCAGTATTGATGTGAAAGACCTCTGCCCGAGACCTTGGAGAGCTGCTGCCAGTCTGAGTAGACAATACTGACTTTGATGGACCAAGGGTCTGATTCAGTAGAAGGCAGTTTCATGTGAGCTCTCAAAAAACAACAACGTTTTCTTGTAATATTTTCGGTTTTCAGAAATACCTCAGTAACCGCTTCTATGCCACCAGAACCACCTCCGCTGTGTACTAAGTACTAGAGAGCCAGTTTGGTGCAGTGGTTAAGTGCGCGGACTCTAATCTGGGAGAACCGGGTTTGATTCCCCACTCCTCCACTTGCACCTGGCTGGATGACCTTGGGCAAGCCCTAGTTCTGATAAGAGCTGTTCTTGAAAAAAGAGCCGTTTCTGTCAAGAGCTCTCTCAGCCCCACCTACCTCACAGGGTGTCCATTGTGGGGAGGGGAAGGGAAAGGAGTTTGTAAGCCGCTCTGAGACTCCTTCGGGTAGTGAAGGGCAGGGTATAAATCCAATCTCTCTCTCTTCTCTAGGTTAGTGTGGCAGGTCCAGGCACCTCATCATGATGCAAAAGATAAGAAAGGGTGATTGGCATTGCTATAAAATGAAAGAGGTACAAATTGGTAGAGATGAATGGTGTTCAGCCCAATGTCCAACTCGAGCTGTTCATCTTAACTATATTACTGAGTACACATCATCAAACTCTTTAAAAGGGCAGGAAGCAAAATCGTTTTTTAAAAAAACATGCATGGATTCAGCTTTTTTTTCTTGTCCAAATACTGAAAACATTTGCCCGGTATTTCCATAGGTAACAAGTGAGATGCAAAGAGCCAGATGAAGTTTGGAATGATCAGATCTCTGAGCGACACATATTGTTACGGCCTCCATGATGTGAAGTGAGGATTCAACTCACTCCAGTGCCCTGTCCATACTAAAACATTTATAGATATAGTCTCTGATGCTAATTCTCACATTTTACACTTGATTTATCACGCAAGCTCCCAAACAGCCTAAGCATTTAGACAACCTACCCACATGAAAACTTTATTCACGGACAAGAGCTTCCCCCAAGGCTAAGCATATCTATTGTTTTTCCCTAGTGTGAACAAGCACATGTCTCATAAGGTTTGAGTGCTGGCTGAAGCCAGATCCACATTCCTGGCATTTAAATGGCTTCTCCCCTGTGTGGATGAGTTGATGTCTAACAAGGTTTGAGTTGTGGCTGAAGCAACTTCGGCACTCCAGGCATTGATATGGTTTCTTCTTGGTTTTTTTATCATTCTGTATCTGACTAAAGCCCTTTTTACATTCCCCTGTCTGCACGTTTTTATGTCTCTTCAGACTTATGCTGTGACAGAAGCTTTTTCCACAATCTAAGCATTTAAAGGGCTTCACCTCTTTGTGGGTTCTTTGATGGTCAGTAAGTCTTTTGCTCAAGCTAAAGCTCCTTCCGCATTCCAGGCATTTATATGGTTTCTCCCCTGCGTGGAGTAGTTGGTGTTTAATGTAGTTTGCCTTTGTTGTGAACTTTTTTCCACATTCCAGACATTCGTATAATTTATCTCCCGTGTGTATTCTTCGATGGATAGCAAGGCTTGAGGTCTGCGTAAATCTCTTTCCACATTCCAGACACGTATATGGTTTCTCACCCGTGTGGGTTCTTTGATGAATGATGAGGTTTGTGCTTTGCAAAAAACTCTTCCCACATTCTACGCATGTATATGGTTTCTCGCTTGTGTGGGTTACTTGATGTCTAATGAAATTTGTACTTTGCACAAAGCTCTTTCCACATTCCAAACATTTATACATTTTTTCACCCTTGTGGTTTCTTTGTTGTACGCTCTGCCTGAAGCCCTTTCCAGACTTGTGGAAATGAAATGTTCGCTCCCTTACATGAATTGCTTGATGTCTAATGAGATGTGACCTTTCAGGAAACCTCTTTCCACACTCTAAACACTTAAACCGTTTCTCTCCCGTGTGGGTTCTTTGATGAACAGTAAGGTTTGACTTCATACAAAACCTCTTCCCACATTCCAGACATTTATATGGTTTTTCTCCTGTGTGGATTCTTTGATGCACAATGAGGTAGGTACTGTATGCGAATGCCTTTCCGCATTCAAAACACTTATAAGGTTTTTCTCCTGTGTGGATTCTTTGATGCACAATGAGGTAGGTACTGTAAGCGAATGCCTTTCCACATTCAAAACACTTATATGGTTTCTCTCCGGTGTGAGTTCTTTGATGCATAGTAAGGCTTGACTTCAGAATAAAGCTCTTTCCACAGTCCAAACATTTATATGGTTTCTCCCCTGTGTGGGTTCTTTGATGCACCTTAAGGGCCGAGCTTTGACTGAATCTCTTTCCACACTGCAGGCAGTCGTACGGTTTCTCCCCTGTGTGGATATTCCAGTGTGCTTTAAGGGTTGCTATGCTAGCAAAGCTTTTCGCGCATCTAGAGCATTCCGTCCTTCTCTTGCCATCCTGAACTGCTTCGTAGTAGTTACCACTACGGTAAGGAATGGATTTACTGCGACCTTTATCGAGCTGGTTTCGCTCCTGCTTTTTGGAGACATCATGATTCCCAGAGTTCTCTTTCAGCTCTAGATTCGTATCACTTTCCTCCAATATTTGATGGGTTCCATTCTCATTAGCTGTGTCCCATACATCTCCTGCTGCAACAGAGAATCCTGATATAAATTAAATGGAACAACGTATCAGGAAATGTCTCACATCAAGCAATTTGAATACTTTAGAACATAAGATACCCACTGGACTGTGGAGTGCCGCAGGGGGCCATCCTCTCGCCCATGCTATTTAACATCTATATGCGCCCCCTTGCCCAGTTGGTCCAGAGGTATGGGCTGGGTTGCCATCAATACGCAGATGACGCCCAGCTCTGTTATTGGAAGGCCATCCGTTCTCCGCCCCGATAACTTGGCCGAGGCTTCGAAGGCTGTGGCTGGATGGTTGTGGCAGAGTCGGTTGAAGCTAAATCCATCAAAGATGGCGGTCCTGTACCTGAGTCGGAAGGGAAGGGATATGGGTATCACTGCAGGGCTCTTTTTGTAGAAAAAGCCCAGCAGGAACTCATTCGCATAATAGGCTACACCCAACACAAGAAACTCATTAGCATATTAGGCCACACCCCTGACAGCACAGCTCATTAGCACATTAGGACGCACCCCCATGTTACCAGAAGTGTGGTTATCCAGCCACACCCACCTTTTGCTTCTTATTCTGTTTACCTTGTTTGTTGTCAAAACCCAGGGCCTTTTTGTAGCAGGAACTCCTTTGAATGTTAGGCCACACACCCCTAATGTAGCCAATCCTAATGAGTTCCTGCTGTTGGGTGTGGCCGATTATGCTAATGAGTTCCTGCTGGGCGTGGCCAACTTGGGAGCCAGCCGGAACTCCGTTCCTGTGTGTTCCTGCCCAAAAATAGCCCTGGGTATCAGGCTCCCCTTGCTGCAAGGGGCACCTTTGGTGCCGGCCCAGAAGGTGAGGAGTCTGTGAGTGACACTGGATGCCTCTGTTTCCATGGAGGCCCAGGTTACTGTAGCTGCCCAATCTGCCTTTTTCCATCTTCAGCAGATTAGGTTGCTGAAACCCTATCTCTCCCCCCAAGACTTGGCTACAGTGACCCACGCAATAGTCACTTCCAGGCTTGACTACTGTAATGCGCTCTACGCAGGCTTACCCTGCATAGAGTTTGGTGTAGTGGTTAAGTGCGTGGGGATCTAATCTGGGAGAACCGGGTTTGATTCCCTACTCCTCCACTTGCACCTGGCTGGATGACCTTGGGCAAGCCGTAGTTCTGATAAGAGCTGTTCTTGAAAAAGAGCAGTTTCTGTCAGAGCTCTCTCAGCCCCACCTACCTCACAGGGTGTCTGTCCTCTAAGCTGAGCTAGTGTGAGCTAGCTCACAGTTCTTCAGCCTCCAGCTCACACATTTTTGTCTGAGCTCAGGAAGGATAGCTCCAGAGCAAACTAATTTATGCAACAGCCAAATCATTCACACACAACTTTAATGCCAGTAGCTCACAAAGTAGGATTTTCACTCACAAGACTCCACAGCTTAGAGGGAGCATTGCTCATGGGGTGTCTGTTGTGGGGAGGGGAAGGGAAAGGAGACTGTAAGCCGCTTTGAGACTCCCCTGGGTAGTGAAGGGCGGGGTATAAATCCAATCTCTTCTCTTCTTTTCTACCCTTGAGGCTGACCCGGTAATTACAGCTGGTGCAAAATGCAGTGGCGCGCCTGCTAATGGCAACACCTGTGCGGGCTCACGTTTGGCAGGTCCTCCGCCAATTGCATTGGTCACCAGCAGTGTTCCCTCTGAGTTAGTGTGAGCCAGCTCACAGGTTTTTAGCCTCCGGCTCGCACATTTTCGTCTGAGCTCAGGAAGGATGGGCTCCAGAGCAAACTAATTTATGCAGCAGCCAAAACTGCTCGCTCACAACTTTAATACCAGTAGCTGACAAAGTAGAATCTTTGCTCACAGGACTCCACAGCTTA